ACAGTACAGAGACCTCACCTGATCATGAAGATGCTTGGCAGGGTGGAACCATGCCCTGCCCCTGGAGATACCGAATATCTACAGAGAGAAGCCCATCCTGATTCAAATTCCTTCTATGCCATTTATTACCTGTTCAGCCAGAGGCACGCTTTGTGGCACCCTGAATCTTGGTTGCAGCATTTCTAGGATGGGATTATGAAACCTGTTCAATAAACAGTTTATCATAGCGTGCAGTTTCCACCACATAAGAAGCTTGCAAGTCACAGCATCTTCCTCCTGCACCCCTCCCCATGGGTACTCAAAGTGTCTTTATATTTGTCAGAAGTTCCCAGTTAGGTCTGGGTTGGTAGCTGCAAGACCGCTGATATTTTATCCCAAATGTTGTGTGAGTGTGGCCTTTTCTGGGGAAAAGGCACATGGTTTTCAGCAGCTTCTCAAAGGATTTCTAGCACCCCACGGGCTTGGAAAATCCACAGTGTACACTGTGCTGCTGTCATCTGCTCCCTGCCTCCCGCTGCAGCTCCATCACCTGCTGTTTCCACCCTCACCCACTGTCCTGTGCATCTCTCTACCCCCAGATCTTCCCATGGTGAGCTCAGCTCCAATGTCACCTGCTGGAAGGGCCCTTCCCTGACATCCTACTGTGAGGAACATTCTATCACATCTGCGTTCACCTGCTCGGGGTGCGGTAGACTGCTGCATAGACCAGGCTTGGTCAACAGACTCATTGCTCAGGCCTGAGGCTGCTCCAAGGCTGAGCTCTCAGCTGGTTCAGTCCCTAGCAGGAGCTCTCTTGTTGGCTTGAATGCAGCCACATTCTCACAGCATCTTCTCATGACAGAGACACTGACCTGTCTTCCTCTTCTTAAGAGCCACTAAACCAATCAAAATGGCCCTAGCCTTGTTACCTCATCCACCCCAATGACCTCCCCAAATCCCACTTCCCACATACCTTGCACTGGGGTTAAAGCTTCAACATAGACATTCTAGGGTGGGAGGCAAAATTTGGTGCACAGCACTATCATACTTTCTTAACTTGAGAGCGTTTATCCTTACCTTTTTCACTGACTCATTTCCTTATGTTCTTTATTCTTTGCCCGGTGCCTCTTGGAGGGTGGAGGACTGTACCATCTAGGGGTGCAGAAATTTAGTCTTATTCACTAATGAGTGGGTCTGTCCATAACAATTTGAATAATGATTGGCATATAGTAAGGATGCCAATTATTGCAAGGAAGGATGGATGGAAGGAAGGGTAGATGGATGGATGGATGATGGACGGTGGATGGGTGGATGGATAGATGGCTTCTAAGTGCATCCCTGTGAGCTATTTTTATGGTTTTAATCAAGAATGACCCCCCAAAAAACTCTCATGGGCTCAGAAGTGGGGCTTTTGGATGGTAGTTGGATCACAGGGGCATTGTATTATCAGTGGCTTTATTCAGCAGTGAGTTCAGAGGCTAATTATGCCATTGGGAGGGGGCCCTGGCAGGAGGAGGCAGTCCCTGGGGTTCACTCTGGAAGGGTGTGTCTCCTGCCCTGCCCCCCCCTTCCCTCTCTACTTCCTGGCCACCATGACTGGAGCAGCTTTCCTGGACTGATCCTTTCACTCCATCCTCACTCGCTGACTTGTGCATCTGTCTGCCCTAGATCTTCACGTGATGGAGTCAGCTCCAGCGTCACCTGCTGGAAGGGCCTTTCCCTGATGCCCCACTGTAAGAAGCCTCCCCATTACATGCTATCACATCCACATATCATTTTGGCCTTGGAGCCAGCTGGCCATGGGCTGAAACGTGAGCCAAAGTAAACCTCCCCTCCTTTAAGCTTTAGCTATTTTGTCCCAGTGGTGGGAGAGTGATGAAGACGGGTGTGGAAGAAAGGTGTCTTTTCCCCTTTTACAGCTGGATAGGTGAAACTTGCAAGCTTCATTTCCTTGGGAGGTTTATTCAGACTTAGCAGCAGTGTCTGGAACTGATCATCTGCATTCAAACCCCTGCTCTGCCACTGGCAGACTCTGTGCCATGGGCAAGTTACGGAACCTCTCTGTTCTTCGGTTTCCTCACCTGTAAATGTGGGTAATGACTGTAACACGCATACGAGATACACATACATCACTGGTCGTCATTAGAGGTCCACTAGTGCTGCACGCTGATTCTCTACCCCTGGGCATGCAGCCAGACATCTCTCCTTGCTCCCTGAAGTGAGCTACAGCTCTGAAATGTGGGCTGAAATGACTGCCTGTACATGGGAACTTTGAAGAGTTCATGTGTGATTTATCTTTCCTCTTGCCCTGACATGAAATCTGAAAGATTCCTGGTGAAGGCTATTGAGTTAGCCCAGACCCTAGGGTGCAGAGAACATGGAACAGAATGCCCTGGACCTAATGTGAACACAGGGATTGGGTGAGAAACAAGCCACTGAGATGGGGTGGTGTCGTCGAAGCACAGTGCAGCTGAGCCTGCCGGGCACATCTGGGTGTGGCTCTGGCAAGGTTGCAGTGAGCTGTGAGAGTAACATGTTGCAAAGTCTCTGGCACCTGGGGGCTCTCAGACTTGCTCAAAGCTGAAGATGGAATTCAGGTTCCCTAGGGCTCTGATGATGATGTGATTTTCCCTGTATTTTGTTATTTCAAAATCTACAAGGGAACTCATGAGAGAACCTGGGCAGGGTGAGCGGAAGACTTACCTCACACCTGCATGTCCGGCTTTGAGGCGCGCAGCACTGGGGAGGGGGGTGATTCTCCTGGGCATCTGCCCGGGCAGGGTCACCACACTGGGGACGCGGCTGCCAAAGCAAAGGGCAGTGACCCACGTGCGTGGCTTTCTCCTCGGGCAGAGCAGCCCCATCTACCTCTGCCTACCATTTTCTCTTGGAGCCCAGGGTAAAACTGTGCCTGAGGAGAGAGTCCCAAGGACACAAATCGCCTGCCCTCTTCTCCGCAGAACGGACACCTCAAGGCACCATGGTCCTTTCACACTGGCCAGGTGTGTGAGGCCACCTCCAGCCACCCTGCTCTGGAGGAGCCTGGAGCTTGGTCACTGTGTCAGCACCTCTGGAAAGCTGAGAGGCTTCACGGAAAATTACAGTGCGTGGCCCAGTCTCGTCTGAAGTATGTCTACCACAACAATGGGGAATCAGCAAGCACCAGAAATAATACCTGTGGGTAAGGCGAGTGGGAGTAGCTATTGTGGGGCAGCTGCCAGGCCCTCTGTGTGTGCCAGGCCCTGCCACGTCCAAGCCCTTTCTCCGCCGCCCCCTTGTAGCCCCCATGCTGCACTGCCAGGGAGTTACCAGCACCGCCGTCCTTGCTGCACATCCAAAAACAGAGAGTGCAGAGCAGCTGAGCAACCTGCCAGTACTCGCTGGGTGGAGCTGGGATCAAATGCAGGCAACCCGCTCCGCTCCGGCGTCCTGTCTCACCTGCGCTCAGCACCTTGGCCTCCACCTCCAGGCCTCCACCCATGCTGTTCTCTCTGGAGCTTGTCCTAACCTCTCCTTCAGCCTGTCCTTCGAGGCAGTAATTGCTTCTCTGTAATGTCTCTGTCAACTTCGCCTATGAGTAGCTCACACACTGACAGCCTCACCATCTGGGTGCTGTGCATAACCCTTGGCATAAAACAAAGACCAAGTCACTGTTACTAAGTTGACTTCTAAGTATTCTAGAAATGGAAGCTCACAGATGGCGGCAGAACATAGTGATGGGGCAGCTGGCTCTGGGGTCAGGCTGCGTGGCTTCAAATCCTAGCCAGTAATCTCTATACTAGCGGGGGTGCCCTGGCCATGGACATGTGGATTTGTTTTTCTGTGCCTAGGCTTGCTCAGCCACACAGTGTAAAAGTACTTGCTACAGTGAGGCATCACATGAGTCAAACGAGATAATGGAACAAAGAGCCTTGCCTGAGTCCTGACACGGTAGGTGCTCAGTGAATGTGAGCCCAGCATGTTTCTCCCCAGAGGCAGGTTAGGGTTGTGCTGGTCGCTGACCACTGAGAGGCATCAGCCAGGTTATCGGTGCCCTGCAGCGCCCTGGGTAACTCAGCCCATGCCCGACAGATATCAGCACGTGCTTCACATTTCCCCATTTGTACAGATGGAAACAGCAGTCATGGGGTGGGGGGGATCCCCCTGAGAAAACTGATGACAGCATTATCTTCACCATTATTTTCTGGGACAGTAATAATAGCTTTCATCATTTCTTTTTTATTCCAGTCTTCTCCTGAAAATTGAAAATAGTATGTGCAACTCTGATATCTCTTCAAAGAATTCTAGTTTTTAAAAAAATAAAACCAAACAATAGGGAGGAAACATATTCTTCTGGTTGGGCATGAACTATAGATTACTAGCTGTGGTGCGTAAATGGAATGCCAAGTGGACTAGTCAGCGTGCAAATTTAATTACTGACGTAGTGAACTTGAAATGGGTTATCAAGGTTAGTTTAATAATCAGACTGGAAGTGATGACAAAAAACCAAAAACTAAAATGTTTTAATCTGTGTCAAGATTAATAGGTAAAAAAGGCATCGTATATGTTTAGGACCTACATGCTAATTTTACTAATTGGAAGAGGAATTGAAAATATCCCTTCCTATCTTCTCGAGGGAAAAATATAAAAATGTTGAAAATTAGCCTTGTTTTGTGTGAGGCTGTCCTGGCTCAGTAATGAAGAAAAGGGCTATAATACAGAAATTCTCTTGAGAATTCTCCTTCCATGTCCAGCATGCTCCCCCCATTCCCAACATTAGGGAATTCAGACACTGAGAGAGCAGTGAAATGTTGTCTTAGTACATTTATCAGCCCCATTTAGACTTTCAGAAGTTGAAATAGGGGCGGGGCAATGTGGTTCATTTCCATAGTCCCAGCACTCCGGGAGGCTGAGGCAGGAGGATCACAAGTTCAAGTGACTTTGTAAGATCCTGTCTCCAAAACAGCAGCAACAACAATGAAAAACCCCAGAAGCTGAAAGAAACACACAAATAGCCAGATAACTTCATCTTGAATCTGAGTCTTTTTTTATCTGAGTTTTAAAAATACAACTTTGGGGAGTCAGCATAGCCATTGTGACTGTGAATTGCTTCATTTTATAATGATGATGATATAGTACCTAGATCATAGCTTTCCAAAGGAATTGGTAATTTAATAATTCTGGTACATAATAAGCACTTACTAAATTTCTATCATGATTTTGTAATTTGTGTACATTAGTCATAAATCATCTTATCAAAGCAAGTGGAAAGGAGGAATAATAATGACAGAACATGACACGGTCCATGTTGAAGTTCATTTTTAAATTCTTCTGCATGTTAGTTCTTGATCCTCACAAGAACCCTGTAAGGCAGTCCTGCTTGGCAGAAGTGACAGCTGGTCAGCACAGGGAGCCTTGGCAGACAGGGTCCTGAGCTTCTGCTCTCGTACCAGGAGTCATTTTCAATCCATATTCTCTGCCTTAGGAATGGTGATCACATTTACTATTCGCTCAAAAAAGAATCCAATCTGGGACAAGAAATGCTCCAGCTTTTGAATACAATGCTAAGGAAGAGAGCTCCAAAATGCCATTGTTATAACTTCTATAGGAAACCTGCTTCTCTATTTTTGTTTTGTTTTGTTTTGGGGTTTTTTTTGTTTTTTTGGTACCGGGGATTGAACTCGGGTCCTTGCGCTTGCGCAGCAGTCGGCGAAACCACTGAGCTAAATCCCTGGCCCAAGGAAACCTGCTTCTTTAAATCTGGCTGCGTTGTTTGGTTCATAAGCATAGGATAGGATCGATAGCGTTTACAAGGTCTGTAGGTCCTTACGAAATCTAAAGATTCGGTTGATTTATTTTCCCCTTGCAGGCGGGAAGCATCCACGTGTGGACTTGTAGGTTCAGCACCGCGGATAGCGACAGACCCGCAGGGATTCTAGGACTCTATCTGAAGTCTTCCTTTCAGAATCTGTGAAGACTCGGCACACAGAATACACACATATACAACTAGCTGTTCAAAAAATCCTGTGAGGAACACAAACACAAGTCCTTGGAACAGAGAAGAAAAACCGCATCCACAAAGCCATATAGTTGACGCCTAGATAGAAGTAACCTGGTCTTAAACGATCCTGACTCAAGCCTATGGAAATACAGCACATAGATTCAGCCACTGGAGTTGATATACTGCTGAAAGCCCTTAGCTAAGAATGGGTAGAAGCCCTTAGATAAGAACTCGGGTACTCTGATTTAAGCTCCGAGAAATCCCTTATCTAGTCAGCTAGGAACCTTTATCTCCTATTCTTATTATTGTTTATGCCTTCTTACTTCCTATATGTCTCCTACTTCAAGGTCAGTTAGAGGACAAACAGATCCAAGTTATTACTTCCTCTGCCTTAGACACTGAATTTCTTTGGCCTCATTGACTATGTTATCATTCCTTCCGGCCTATCAATGTTTATTAGATTTGATACTGCTTAGTTCTGACATTCAGAGGATGGTGACTCACTCTCAGTAAGCATGTTATCATGCTCTAGGGACACAGCTAATCCGGATGACATCATTTTGTCTGGAAGATTTATTTTAGGTAGAGAGTCCCCAGAGCTCGAGGAAAGAAAACTTTCCATTCCCTGGCTTCTGCAGCCCTATTCCATTAAAACAGCTCTGAGAGGCATCTTTGAAAGCGAAAGAACATGGCATTGTGAGGGAATATAGACTCATAGCCCCAGCAATTCGAGTGACTATCATGCCAGCTGGTTTATACACACTCTCCTCCGAGACCCTTTAGCAAGTATTCAGTTCCCACCACCTACAGCTCTGCAACCATGGAAAGTTACTGGTGTTCTTGGAGTCTGAGGCACTGCACCTGTGTGATGAGGATCCTCGCTGGGCATGAGAGGAACGGTGACAGAGGCTGTGGCCACATGGAGTGGAGTCGTGGGAGGCAGGAAATGAGGCACAGCTGGCTGAGTCACCTAATGGAGCTGAAACACAGTTCCTGATTAAAAAAAATAATTAAGGAAGTTCCACCCACAGGTAGATACAAGGACTTCCCTTGTCTCTGGAAACAAATTCTTCAGCTACCCTAATGCTAAAAGACCATGGGGCTGGAGTAAGAAAATCAGATCCCATTCCCAGCTCTGCCACATAAGGTGCCACACCTCCCTCCGACCCGAGCCTCCTTTCCTCAGGCTGCAGACAGACACTTTACCCGCTGGCTACAGGTCCTCCCTGGATCTCGGTGGAGGACAGTTAGCTGCTCGGGTTAGATGAGGGAGAAGTAAGTGTTGTGAGAAGGTTGAGTTTGTGGCTGGGTTTAAAGCTTGGTTCCCCTCACTACTCGTTATCTGAGCAACTTTGGGCAAATTACTTCAGGGCTCTGAGCCTGGAACCCACGTTAATGGAGTGGGAGGACTATAAATAACTATCTCATGAGTCTTTTGTGATGATTAAAATATCAATGGGGGCAATGCACTTGGAACAGTATCTGACACAGAACAAGGGCTCGTACACATCAGTAGACCAAGGGCATGCTGGACCAGACAGAGTAGTCCGGGCCCTTGGGGCAGGACCCCACCTTTCTCCTCCGTAGGTCTGTGTGTCCCAGAAATGCATCTCTTTATCTTTTTCTTAAGGCCATTGCTTGCCTGGACAATGGCTCATATTCTGGTTGTAACTGTGGAAAACTCTTACCAACAACAACGTGTAAAGGAGAGGGAATCTATGGAGCAGAAAGGGCTGCAAATGGGAGCTGGTGTTGGAGCAGCGATCCTGGCCATGAGGAGGAGAGGAGGCAGCCATGAGCCCAGGCCCTGCTGTCTTCGCACATTCTTGCTGCCAGGCTGGCCCTCAGCTCATTCAGACGGTCCTGCTGCTTTCTGCCGACATCGGTCCAGAGCACAGAAACACAAAGTGAGCCAACAGGGTGAGTGGGTGAAGGGTCTGGAAGCACTTACAGATGAGACAGGGGAGATGGCCAGGAGGAAGCTTCTGTCGGGGAGGCAGGAGGTCCGCCCTGGGAGGGCTGAGGGGATGCTGTCCCCTCGAGGTGCGGGTGACAGTCCCCGACAACACGCGAAGCACGTGAGAGTCATTGGCACTGCGAGGTCTCGGCCGCCACATCCTCCACCCGCCTTTATTAAAGGACATTTTGGGGGAATCACAGGATCTTTGGCCTGCTACTCCAGTCCATGGGGCTCTGTGTTACCAATTCAAAGGATGTGGTGAATGTGAAGGGAGAAGCGGGGTCAGGGTTGCAAAGGGAGGACGGACGAGAGGGAATAGGCAGGAAACTGAGAGTTCCTGGAGCTGGGGATCCCAGGAGGGCGGCTCCAGACCATGCAGGAGGCAAGGGAATTGAGAGGAAGCCTGATGGGGATCTGAGTGTGTTCTTTCGGCAAACAAAGTGGACCTCTTGATTGGCCTTCAAGAAAGTAAGGCATCATCTGAACCTCCTTTCAGTTGTTAGATCAGACTTTTAGAAATATGCCTGCATACGCAGGGCATAGCCAGAGGCCACAGTCAGGGCTGGGTGCGCTGCCCACCCATCTCTAGGATGCGGGGCCGGAGACACTCGACTCTCTAGTTCTGTTATCCTACGGAAGAGCCGTGGGTAAATGCAAAAGAGAAAATGCCAGCGAAGTTTATGTAAACTTGGGAATGAAGTTGAAAGAGAATAAAGCAGCATCTTCAGCCTTTCCTGAACAGAAACGGGAAGCATTTCACAACTCTTGTCCCCTGTGGGGAACGTCAGTCAGCAGACCAGATGCGAGCAGATGTGATGCCCTGTCCTTGGGAAACTGAAGCGTAACGACACAAATGTGCACCCCTCGAGGCGGCTGCCGAAGAAACTGGTTTTCTCTCTTGCCCGGAATGTGTGTGCTGAGCATTTGGGGTGCAGCTGAAATGGAGGCCGCCCTGGGGCTTCAGGGACCAGCGTGACAGCCAGGCCTGGGAGCAAACTGATGGCAGGCAGCTGGGTCAGAGAACGGATGGACGGAAGCGTCCTGGGGCTGTGAGCCGTGGCCTGGGCGGGTGCCTGAGCTGGGACTTGGACTCCTGCACAGACAGGCCAAGGGGCTCAAGGAGAGCACGGGAGCGAGCAGGCGAGGCCCAGCAGGCCCGGCCGCTCCCACCCTCCTGCATTCGCCCAGCACCCATCAGTCCAGGCAGCTCCCTGGACCCCCGAGAACGTTCCAGAGAAACACTCAGCCCAACTTCGGGAGACCCTGACCCCAGAGTCACCCAGGGCGCCGAGTTCTTCCTACGCCGCTTGAGACGCCTGCGGCGTCCGTCCCAAGCCAGGTGTGCGCTCCAGTTAAGTCCATCCCATCCTTCCCTGCTGTCACCAGCACCGCTTGCCCCAAACTAGTCAATCAGAAACGTGTTTTGTTCATTTCTACAGAAACAGTCTGTCCAGGACAAAATGAAGAAAAACCTATCAGCCTCATTTTTTAATATCACCCAGGGTTGTTGTTTTTTTAATGCACATGAAGAACAAAAAGAGCTTCACTGTGTACACAGCCTACTCTGAAGCGGCAATCATTCTGCCTCCCAGGTACCTCCAGGCAGCTCCCAGGAGACACTGTGCAGACCCAGGAGCACGGTGTGTCCTGCCACAAGGTGTGCCAGGGGCTGAGCAGCAGAGAGGTGGGAACTGGAGACTGACGCACCCGGGCCACCGGGGAGAAGCTTTCCATCAGAACTGGCGCCAGAGAGCTCCCCAGTGAGTGGTTCACGATCAACTCAGACCAACACAAGGCCAGAAAAGGCTGCATGGCACCTGAAGTTCAGAGTCCAGGGACCTCTAAGACCCCAAGTGTCAAGAGACGGGAATAGCCAGTGTGGAAAGGCCAGGCCTGGACCTCAGGTGGCCAGCTAAGGAGACACCCTCGCAGGTTGGCAGCACGGTGATTCCAGGTGCAGAGCCCTGGGCAGGGGAAGTAACCAAGGGACTGATTTGCACGCAGACTCCAGGCCTGAGCTGTTTCCGACCTTTGCCACTTCTTGTGGTTGATGCTGGTCTCTCACTCAATCACTGCATGAACGTGTGTAAAGTGCCCACTGTGTGCTCAGCAGTCTGCTAATTGCATGGGAACAAGAACCGCGTCTGCCTTGTGCAGCCTCACTGTCACATAAAGTGCCCGAAAACCGCATCTGTTCATGTAAGAAAACGAAGCAGGAGTTTCTTACTTGCAGGCTGAGGTAGGCGCTGGGATACAGGGATGCATAAGTGTGCTCCCACAAGGAGGGGAGCAGGGGGCAGACACCCAGGGTCAGCGAATCACAGCAGTGTCTGTGGGTGCTTCCTGCATGCTGAGCTCACCTCCTCGCTGGAGCCGGAGGTGACTACCGTGCAGGCCCAGCAGCTGTATTCCTGAGAGTCAATAAATGGCTCTCCCCAGCTTGTGGCTCCTCTTCCCAAAGACAAGCCCACAGCATCCATGCAGATGGACATCTGGGAGATCCATGTTCATGGTCAAATAACTTGGAAGACTCTGGGACAAATTAAGCAAAATAAATCAGGGTTTGAAATGTAGGGTTGTCAGAGACCGTAAGGTACCAGCGTGCCTTGTGAGAGTCCACAGGCAGAGGGTGGCATTGGCACTTTCTGTGCCCGTGGACGTGGGCTACTGGTGCCCGGCATGTCTGGAAGGACCCTGACTGAGACATGGTGTCAGAGGCTGTGGTCAGAGGCCGTGGTCCGCACGTCCCCACCACCGAGCAGAGTCTGGTGCTCAGATGGCGCCCACCTATGGCTTCTGAAGTGGCTGGGATGATGCACGAGGAACGGGGCTCTAGGCTCAAGAGACGCACTTGTCCTCCTGGCTCTTCGACCTTGAAGATTCCACATCCACCTACCCAGGCCTCCACTTCAACGTCCGAGAGAGGTTTCCAGTTTTTAGCTCTGCTACAGATTCCATCCAGACACCACCCTTCCAGGTGCTGCTTCTCCTCTGAGCCACCTCCCCCTGCAGGTGCCTTTCTGGTTGCCTGGCAACACAGTGACAGAAACTACAACTCTCAGGAGGATGAGCCTCTGAGCAGGGGCAGTCACATGAGGCAGCAGCTGTAGCTGAGCGGTGCCCTGCAGAACTCCTGCTCCACCCCACTGAGGGAGCATCCTGAGGGGCTCTCTGAAAGGGAGAGAACAATTCCCGTGTTCATGGTAAAAACCTTGAGCATGATCTTGGAGGGTTCTGTACAATCCTGCATGCTGGTAATAAGCTGAACCTCTCACAACAACCAGGTGTGGCTTTTATTGCTAATGAAAGGTCTCTCTCTGTGTAAAACACAAAAATGAAAACTGTCCCTGGTGTCCCACTCGCCCTTAAGTGCACCTCCCAGGTTCTGGGTTGCGAGCAGATGGTGTCGCAGGGCCCAGCAGACCTTCGGGAACACCCGCAGAGCAGGCAGAGCTGAACTCCAGTGTCTGAGGAGAACTTTAGGGTGGCTAAGAGCAGGGCTTCTGAAACCCATGGATCTGGGTTCAGTTCCTGGTTCTGCCACGTACAGACTGAGAGACTCTGAGGAAGTTTCCTTAGCTTCTCTGAAGACTCAGTGCCCATCTGCAAGTGTCCTGGAGAGAACTGAGGGGTGGAAGCCACTCAGCACAGAGCATGCCGTGTGAGCCATCATCAGGGCTGCTGTGGATGCTTAGGCCATTACACACTGCTACCTGGTGAGGCTGGGTTGAATCCAGGTCTCAGGCAACTCAAGGACTTTCTGTCAGCACTTCAGTCCTCTTTCGGAAGGAAGAGCCATCAGGATGTGTTCTTCTGACGGAGATCCACAGGCCAGATGGGATGACGACGTGAGGCCACGCTGACCCAGCACTATGTGGACCGGGAGCTCTTCCCTTCTCGCTGGGATAAGACGCTCACCCTTCCCGAGTACGGGAGGCATTCCAGATCTGGAGAAAGCATCTGGAGGTGGGCTCTGCTCCTGTCCCCCGTCCACACTCAGGAGAGGGTCCCCACACCAGGGAGGAACCACGGCTGGCCACTGGCTCCGCCTCTGCTGGCCAGCGAGGCACAAAGGACTGCAGCATCCGCCCGCCTGCAGTCCCCTGTGTGTGGCAGACGACTCGGGCTTGGCCTGACTCCCCTGGCACTGTGAGTTCGAGGCACCTCAGCCAGGCCTCCCCGCTGGCCCAGGCGCAAGGTGGAGCCTCGGTGCCTCTGCCGCCATTGCTTCTGCCTAGAGGAGCAGAGATGAATGGAACTTCAGAAATCCTCCTGTGTGTGTCAGACACGCTTCAATAGCATGGGTTCAAACAAGAAATCCTCTTTCCCTCCCTCTTTCTCTGCTCTCCTGTCTCTTCTTCCTTTCTCCGTTCACCTGCTTCCTTTTTATTCCTACTGGCACATGGCTGCCATCTGTAATTCCTCATGGGAAGCTGCATCTTGATTCATTTCTGTTCCCTTCCCTTTCTCTCCTGCAGATCCCTTCCCTTCTCCTTTATCTCTTTCTGTCTCTCCACCTCCCACACACAGGGCTCTGGGGGAGTACAGTGACCCCGGCCACCTCGGGGAAATCCTCTCGGGGCACTGGAAGGCATAGTCCGAAAACCACAGCCAGGTCCAGCCCTCCTTCTATGGAGTCGGGACAAAGATCCCCGGAGGGAAGAGACTGCCTGAGGTCACACAGCTGAACTCCCAGACTCCCAGGCCAGTGTTCTTCCTCCTGCGAAGCAGTAAGCATGGAGCTGTGCCCTAGTTCCATTCTGACCACAGGTGCGGAAATGTGCGGCCCACTCAGCCGGCCCCACTGGTGAGCGGTTTCCAGCAATGCTCCGTCCGTGTCTTGGTCCTGGGCACAGCTGCAGCGCGTGTGTGTGCAGTCACTGGCAAAGGCTCAGTGGTGACACAGACGCATGTGAGACAGCGCTTTCCAGCCGGAACAGACCGGCTTCCTTTCTCTCCCTGTGCAACATCTCTCGGGTTACTCCTTCGAATCCTTCCTTCCACACCAGAGAGGAAACAGATAAATGTCTCCTTGATTAAATAAAGCCCCACCCACAGGAAAGATGGGTGTGGAACACGGATCACCAAAGAAGGGAAGAGCTCACGTGGGAAGGGGAGGCCGAGAGGCCCAAGTCCTGCCCCACAGCACCATCCCAGGGGCCACAAGAGAGCCTGCCCGTGGGGAGCCTCCATCTCCAGCAGGTGCCTGTGAAGACACCGGTTCGCTATTCAGAAGAGTGAGTGCGTGAGGCGTGCTGAGAGGCAACAGAGCCTGGGGGATGGAGCCCTGTCTTGCCACAGAGCCGGAGCCGGAGCTGGAGCCGGAGCCCGGAGGAAGCAATGGGGAGCCAGGCCAAGGGGGAAGGGGCGGAGCTCCTGCTGGGTCCCAGAGGTGGTCGGGCCCTGTGGGGCCTTGGGATTCTGAGCCCTCCTTGAAGAGCCCTGAGGTCTTGGCCAGCGGATTTACCTCTTTAGGCCTCAGGTCCTGCAATCTGTGAAGTGAGCAGTAGCACGGGGCAACCTCTCAGAGTCACTGGAGGAATCAGTGAGCAGAGGACCATGGGCGCTGCACAGGGTCTGGCACCCGGAAGCCACAGCCGCCGTGCTAAGGCGGTGCAGGACGCCGTGACTCCCACTGTCTCCCTGCAGGACATCTGCCCAGGATGCCGGGAGGCCAGAGGAGAGAGAAGCAAGGTGAAAGCCCGGCTGCTGCATCTGCAGCTGGCTGAGCAAAGCAGGGTGGGGCCGGCAGTGCCCACGCCTCAGGCCTCGGACTCCACGCAGCAGCTGGGGCCTCGGACAGGACAAAGAAGATGGAGACTGTGGTGCCCACACTTCCAGCTGCACCTTAACTGCCTCAGTGAGAACTCACTGAATAAGATGTGTGTTTGCCTTTTGAGAAATCAAGTTGATCATTCAGATGCAAATAAAATGCAGAACACTTAGGGAGGGCTAATTCTGTACCAAGCTCAGCTCTGAGAACTTTATTTCAACAGATGTCCTCCTCCCAACACCCCTAGAAGAGGGCAGTATTGTCAGCTACTTTGTACACAGGTATAAAAGGCGTGGAGCCCGCGGCAAACACTGTACCCAAAGCCCGGTGCCTGGCACTAGCAGAGCGGGGATTAGACAAGGGCAGCGCTCAGCTTTGGCACTCCCGGCACAGGGCTCTTGCGGGCTCCTGCAAATGCGGGGACCCCTTCCTCTTGCCTGCCTGCTCCCCCAGCCCCCCCCCCCGCTTGGTTGACATGACACAGAGACGTCCTGCGGGGTCACACTGGGTTGGGGTGCAGAGGAGGAGGCCCGCGGAGGCAGCTTCTCTGCCTTCTTCGCTGGGTGCCTGAGCAGAAAGCCTGGGAGACTGGAAGTGGAAGCCAGAAGCCAGGGAGATTCTAATCCAGAGGACGGTGTCGCCGGGTTTCCCATCCCACATAGGCCCAGCGCAAACACAGGGGTTCTGAAGAGCCAGCCACGCCGCCTCACCTCAGTGCACAGAGAAGGAACCAGTGTGCAGGCGGGACAGGGACAGCCGGTGACCACACCGCGAGGCAGCTGGGCCCGGACCCTGGCTCCGGCCTGGGGTTCTCAGCACGCGCTTACCCTGGAGGGTGACAAAGTCTGTCCCTCCCGCATCCTCAGTCTCCTTGTCACTGACTGGCAGCAGGATTCAGGTCCCCGTGCAGGTTTGGCTCCAGGTGCTTCACGAGTGCAGCCAGAACTCTCACCACCATCGGGACTCAGTCCTCCTTCTCCCTGGCCCAAAACTGCTTCCTGGTGAGTCACGGAGGAGGGCGCACTTTCACCTCCCCAAGAGCAGCGTGATCTGCAGAAACCTCCCCACCTGCACCCTCCATGACAAAGGACGCCCACTGACATCTGCCTCCCTCTCAGGGGGACTGTGGGGCTTGGAAACTTATTTTTCTGGTTGCCATGACAATCTTTTGCAAGGTCAGCAGAAATACTCTGCTACAAAGAAGCAGGCCCAAGACCTCCCAAAGATTCCAGCTCTGAGCAGGCGGGCCCAGGCTGAGCCATGGGCGCCGAACCTTCACACGGGTTTCTAGAAAGGAACTATGCATGTTAATGAAATTCTCCAAACTCAGAGACGCAACAAACCACCTCGTGGTGAAGAGGAAATCAGTACTTTCAAAACTGTTCTGTGACATCTTCCTAAAGGAGTTTTAAAATCCAAATAGAAAATAGGTGAAAGTGAAAAGTTCTCCTGCTTTCATCTCTTTCCTTGACCCTGCTTGACAGACTCCAGACCCCACTTTCTCCTCCTGCTGATAAAATCTGACCTAGCAATCTGTCCGGGATCCTGCAGATTTCAGGCACCACGCTAAGGAGGGAGGAGGAAGGGGACCTTTCCTATGGCCTTGCCAACAACTCTGTCCTTGTTGGCAAGTATAGAGAAGCCACAGCCAAACGGCATAGCAGCCACCCCGAAACAGGACCTCAGTTCAGCTACAGCTCTGCCACTCGCAGCTATGCATGTGAAATGAGCGA